TAACATTTACCACGCATAATATAATAGACTTACTCATTTTTCAATCAAAACAGAAGACCGGTACATCTTTTAATTTTGATAAAACCTTCATTTTCTGAATGAAAACTGAATGAATATCGAACAGTACTGTCTATGTTATGATGGCACGGTAGTGTCGGCTTATCTTGGTCTACAGTATTACATTAGTCGAAGATGTGGTCACTACCAGGGTTCAGATATATCTTTATATGCAGTTTTAATGTAGCACAAAGGTATGGTGATCATAATAAACAATTTAGATTATAGAGTGTTTAAATTGAAAATTAATGTAAATTTATGATTTAAAACAGATGCTGAGATTTGGTTTAAGGCTTTTAATACAATAAGACTCATGTTTAACTTATATTATCTTTCTAAGCGACGCAAAGATTAAAGACATTTCAATTTAGCTGACATGAAATAAATGTTGTATATTATTGATCACATGGTTTATCAAGGACATTTTCATTCTTAATAAGTCAACTATAAATATTTGAACTACTACATACGCGACATGAAGTTTTTGTATGGGATTAAATTATTATTTCACCAAATTTATGATGTATGCTATTTTTATTAAACTAAAACAAACAAAAATTGAAGGAAAGTTAATTCACCTACCAGCATGTGCGTATGCGATGCAAATGAAAATTAGTTAGCACGTTGCAATGATCAAAGTCTTACATCGAATAAGCGAAAAGCTACAATTTAGGTTCGGTAGTCTGACTTCAGTTGCACCGACTAATATCAAAATAAGTATACCTCCTTAGCTTGATTGATAGCGTTTTTCTCACAAAAGCTTTTCTGTTGACAATGTCTGACCATTAACGAGTCCAGAAAGGAACTAAGTGATGTATTGATTTAAACAGGACGCTTTCTTTCACGTTTCCTGATAAAATGATTGAGTTTCTTGGAATTACGTAATATATATATATTTTTAATATACATTTGTTTTTTGTTTTTGTTTTTTTTTAGTTTTGCTCCTGGAAGATATAAACTTGATTTTGAATGATATATTAGTAATACAAACTAACAGATAATTATGTGCATATGAGCTATGTTGATAATGCCATATCTGAGATGATATAACATAGTTTGGGGTCCTTGTATTGAACCAAAACACAATTCTATCAGCCTCTTAAATGCGACAGTGCTTTGTGCTTAAAACTTATTATGTTTTAGCATCGGATAAATTAATAACAAAACAAACAAGAAAAAAAACGTTAAGCTTCACACTTTCAGAAAACGAAATACAAAACGAACAATTGTTTCAAGCTAATTCACAATTATTTATCACGCTTAGGGCGACAAGTCAATAACTGTGTGAAGGAAATGGAACCAAAGTATCTTAGTGATAATATTTTTTTTCCTATAAGCATATATGACAAGGAGCTATTGATTTGGGCATTAAATGATAACAAGTTCGACACAATTATATAAACAACGAAACAAATTGATGGTTATGATACAAACGTATTGTAAAATGTAATAATTATAATGCATTATCATTCAAACATTGAATTGAATGTGTACTCTGTTGTAGTTATACTCGTAGTATTTGTTTGTGTTTTCACTTGATTTTGTAACAAATCATTATTAGAAGAATTTCCTTCCAGTTAAGTATCATTATTCTTCATGATTTTATAACGAAGTGGCAAAGAAATTAGAAACTTCAATAAAAGCTTTCGTATAATTAACTGTCCATGAAATTTTCCAATATACTTTACAACAAAGTTGTTCTTTGTGGATCATGCCTACGGTTTTTGTATGTTATTGTGGCATTGTGAATCAAGTATTTAATTTTCAAAAAGATTACTCTTTGTGTTGAAAGAAAACAACCTAGTATTTTAAAGTAATCAGTATTGTCTAAAGATTTTTGGTCATGCAAAATTTAAATAAAAGATATCCGATTACATTGTAATTTAAGGGTCGACAAAATTTGTATGACTACAGTTGTTTAGGTTTAAATTACATGTTTATGCCAAATTCCTATTAAAACTTGAAGTCCCAATTGCAAATTTTGATGATGCCGTAATAAACAGAATTGAGTTCATTCATTTTCAATTTAATCTTTAAAGTGACTCTGACATGTGTAATTTATTTCATCGTGCAAGTTAAAAGACATTTAACTAAATCATTTAATCACATTTTTCCACTTCTATGACATATTACAAAAATCTGAAAACAAAGTGGTCCCTCGGAAGCATTAGTTATAATTCTGTACATAAGGGATAATGAATAAGTACAGCATCAGTCAGGCTTGACTGGTACTTTATTCTCAAAACTTAATAGTTAATAGTGCTGGCATCAATGATCCCGAAGGACCAGGAAAAGTCAGTTATTGAAGTTTTTGACACAAAGTAAGACAAGTATATGTTTGTTTTTTTACATGTTTGTCATATGCAGTATGTTAAAAATATTGCATTTTAATATGTGTCTGAATTTCATTTCTTTTCAAATTTGGTCGCGTTTGAATTATCAAACATCATATAAGCAAAAGATTAATTGTTTTAATTAACATTCCTTTTCAATTGCATGAAATCAAAGACTGTTTTCGTTTAATGTTATAACCCTAGGAAATTTGTGAACAAACGTAGCTAATGTATATATGTAACTGCACGAAAAATGTCAATTAACAGCGCTTCTTAAAAACAAAAAAGGAAAAATGTTGCAGGAAATTAAGTTGGATGCAAGCTGAAGTTAGGCGTTCAGATAAATACAACCTAATTAAGTCTACAACTAGATCATCAACGTAAGTATTGATCTAGGCTGTCCACTAGAATTGTCACACGAGATATTTATGTATGGTTGGAAATATTGACTAAAATGCCTTTACTCGCTAACTGCGATACAACAGTATCAGCTCTGATGCCGATAACTTGCTAATGCAAAAGTGACGGATATTTTATATTTTGCAAAAGGTATAATTACAAAGCAATTGTGTAAGGATAAAGTCGTGTATGTGTTAAGGATACTGTGCATTTTCCTATTAAGTGAGCAATTTTAAATACTTAACAAATATAACAACGGAATAAGATCTTGAAAGTCTAGTTATTGAAAGGATTATGCATGTTTTCATCTGTGTACAAATTATCAAATTAAATTAAAACTATCAAAGGCGGATTGAATAACGCGCTTGCAGTAAATCTGTTTTTACAATATGTCTGATGTGTGGATTTATTTTAGCTTATATTAAATAAATAGATGAATATGCAGTTGAAACATACATGTACATAGTGTGTTGATTTACGCGTATAAATTCCCACAGCCAGTGATTATTGCAGTATAAGATTACAATAAGTAACGTTGATGAATGAAGGCATTTAGTTTTATATGAGCACTTTCAAAAAAGCATCACATATTGTTTTACAAGTTCTTGTAGAAAGTAAAATAAGAAACATATGTGCTGTTAAATTATCAATTGTGTATAAAATCGTTTAATTAGCCCGTGAGGTAAGTAAAATATCCGTTCATTTCAATGTAGGTTGTGTGTTATGTCGATTTCAAGATCAAAAGCAAAAGCACTAAAAATTTGAGAAAGTATGCAGTAACAATAAAATGCGTTAAAAATTAATCTACAAATCGTTAGTTCATTATAACTAACTTCTTCTGAAAACGAGCAGGAAATTTATGAACATTTATTCGATTTGATAAAGTTGGTTAAATATCAAATGCAGTGTATTCTTCTTGTCTAGTATTCTTATTTGCTGCCAAACCAGGAATCTGTACATTTACGAAATCTCGTGTACACACATGTTTTTTTAGAAAAATGTTTGTAATAAAATGACGAAACGTATAATACTATGTGTCTTAACATATTTTATTAAAACACACAGATTGGTTACCGATTGTAATTCAAGACACTCCTTACGATTTTTTTAACTAAGAGAAGAAAATCTCAATTATTTGCTTTCTGTAAACCAAAGAGACATTTGAGAATACCGTTTTCTCTTTGGAAGATAATACTCGACTGTCTTTTTAAATTCAGAGAAAGAAATAACCATGGAAAATAACTATTGTTAATTAGACTTATTTCGAGAGTTTTTTTGTCCAGCTAATATGTAGTCAACTCGATAAACTAACAATGAAAATGAAACAGTGTGGCTGACTTTTGCAAAGAAAGATTTTATTAGTCCAGATCTTTTACTGCCTTATGGCAAAGTTACCCTTTGTCATTTTTTATTTAATCTGATTCTGTTCACAACCTGCTTTGGTTAAGGTCCTGTTTTATAACTGCATACAGCCGATTCTTCTATTGAAGCAATTAGGTATTGATTTGAAATAAAACTCAGCTTCATCCCTTTGCTTACTCGTGAATATGAAATGTTGTTTTATATAAACTTGTTTGCGATGAGAATCATTTGATGTTGACAGTGTATGTTTTAAGAGATAACTTCATGTGGTTATATACGATAATACTATGTTATAAACTGGTAGATACTAATGAAGAATAAAAATGAACCGGGCATTGCTAGAGTCAAAGCATATTTAATATTAATGCTAAGTTCTAACTTAAAAATCGATCAAACTTGATTCAAATATACCGAATATACCGAAGAGAACGTTCAATATGCAAAATGTTCAAGTATGTAATATTTATCTAATATAAAATTGATCAAGGAATTCCAACTGAGCGTTTTGATTTAGATGAGAAAACAATTGATTTATATAGAATAGCGGCCTGTGAGAACATTGTGACGAAAGCTTAATTGTGGTATTGATTGCCTATATTGTATGTTGTTGAAAAGATAAAAACTAAAACAGCTATAAAGTAGGAGTAAAAACATATAATAGAAACAAATCTGTCTTAAAGTTATTCAATATCGTTTATTATCCTGGAAAAGCAGATGTTATGCGATTTAAACTTCATGAATATAAAATATTCTGACATATTGAGTTCTTTCTTGATCTCTAGCAAATGGAACTTTGTTTTGTAATGTTAAGAACAATCGAGTGTTATTTCATTTTTATTCTATTTATAGATATTTCAAAGCAATAAAATGAAAACTAAAGGAGATGTTTCAACCGGAAATGAAGTTCCTAATTGTACGTACTCCCGCCTTAAAGCAGAAAAGCAGACAAAGGAGAAGGCTGATAATCTCCTACCTGAAAGCAATGGATCTGCAGAAACACAGAAACTGGTTGACAATTTCGTTCAAGTAAGTCTTTCTTAATTATCTAAAACAAAAGATTGTTTTAGTTATGATTATGTAATTGTAATTCTGGCCATGTTTATAAAGTCAGTCTCTAATGCTTTTGTGTTGTTTCTATTGTAATGCATTCGATCTGTGTTTATGCAGGCACAATTTGGCATTCATTTCATGACCGAGATTGCGATAAATTCATTTTTTGCTACACTCCTGATTGCTGTTATTGACATTGTCTTTGCAAGAAGCTTTAATTACGTATAATTTGGTATTTTTTCCACGACAGGAGGTTATACAGAAAGCAAGAACCGAATATTTACGACAATGTGATAATTGTAATGACGTAAAAGACACTATGTCACGTGATTCGAAAAGTGGAAAACGCCGACCAGGTAGTGTTTTTCTTTCTTTTTTATTACTTCGTATTCAGTAATTTACTTATTAACAATGTTTCTACAATTGATTAGAGTGCATGTTGGATATAAAAAACTTAGACATACATTGTATGTATTTGATATCGATTGCAGAATTAAAAAGATTTTGTTGGAGAAAAGCTATTGCTGTCCATCATTTTACTAGTCTCTCAAAATACTTTATTCTGTCGTATCTATAAATCCTCTAAACAGACTTTCAGAGAATCGGAATAGAAATTGCAATTTGTTTCAATTATCTGCGTCATAGAACTGAATCAGCATACTCGGGAATGTTATTAACTCTCTAATTTAAACAAATAACATGACAAATAACTAAGAAGTATGCCCTGTAATTTAGTTTTTGCTTTTTATTAGCAAAGGTTAATGTTGCACGAGATATAGTGTATTATTTCATCTAGTCTATCGAAAATAACAGCTAAAAGCTTTTAAAGTTTATGATACGTGTCACAAAAATTACATTATGTTAGGCAATTGAAGATTTGGTTTTGATTATTAAAAAGTTTTTTAAAAATCATGTTATATTTGTGATCAAACACATGTACAACACAATATTTAGCAATATTAAGTTGTGATGTGTTACGACTGCTATGAAATTTATATTAATGTTCTTATTCTTTCATATGTTCACCGTTTCTCTGTACTCCGTTGTCACATAATCATTGTTTGTGCTGCGTTGGGCCTTTCAAAAATAGCCCTAAATTTTTTTATGATGTTACATTTTCAGTCGTTGATAATTGTTCAAATTTTCTTATGTTTTAGGCATTTTGGTGTCTTCTATTTAACGTGTATTTAAGTTGTTGTTTAAAGTATTCCTACTTGAATACTTTATAACCATCCCAAGAATATGTTACTTGCCTTTTAAATGTGTCTTTTAACATCTACTCTGTATGTGATCTGTAGGCAAACAATTTTAATGGTAACCGCAGAATGAACACATCTGCAGATATGTCTTTATTCTAATTCCATAATCGAACACGTGGATTATAATGTCGTTAGATACGTCCAGTACGATTGCTGTTTTTTTCTCCATCCACAGAAAAGTCCTTGGGTTCTTTTCAATGCACAGTTCTGTTATTAAGAAACAAAGCCATGATACGTAAATATGAGAAAGGAATGTCACGACGCAACATTAAGTACTAACATTTATAACGAATGTTCCTTTGACGTCGTGTTATGTTTATAGACCAATAAGAAGACAATAAATTCTTTAGAAAATACTTAAACATACCATTTTGAGGATATTTTCTTCATTGCATAAAAGGCATAAAAGGCACATAGAAAATCTTTTATTTACTATGTGCACACGCGATAGCTAGAGTGTATTACGCGGCCACTCAATACCTATTGTGTGTGCATGTAATAGTTACATGGTCGAGAAACTGCTTTTACGTGCTCGTTAATAGTTGTTTCGTGGCCATGTTATACCTACCGCATGCGCACGCAGTAAATAAAATATTTCCCATGTCCTCCTTCCTCAACCGTACGTTTTTTGTATACGTAATAATACATATATATATCTTTTTGTTACAGAAAAAGAAAACGGTACTGTTGGTCCGGTGAGTATTCTATTTGCAGTTTATTTATTTCATTTTTGTTTGTATCATTGTTGATGTGATACATTTTAGCCATTCGCACCTCTTTTGAATTTCCTATTGTTTTAAATGTGATAAATAAATCATTATTGTTACAGTATTATTCATAGTTCATTTTGTCTATCATGTTTTGAAAGACGCGTAATTTAATTGTGTGCACTGATAATACCTTTAGAAAAAAAAATCGTTCTTCGATAGTGGTACAGTAGTCAAATTATAATACCGCTGGAAGTTCATATACATTCAGGGGTTAAAGGTCAAATTCATTTCATTTCTAATCTTTCAAGCAATGTTGTGTAATAATGTCTTTAAAATATATTTTATCGTGTAGATGTTTTAACTCACACGTGCTTAAAGAACAGTTTGAAGTTTTCCATATTAAATTTGTCTTACAAAAGTCAAACCATGCAATATATTCCATGTTTATGAATATACTTATTCATGAATATTTAATTTCAAACTAAAATATAATCCCATAAAAAAAAATATTTTTTCACGATTCCATTTGTGTGAAATCTTGTGAACAAATCAATGTTCTATCGTATATGAAATAACGCCTTCGTTCAAATTAACTATTAGAAATAAGACCTCTGACATAAGACCTTGATTTATCACAATTGTTGACATATGACCGTGACATAATAAGACACAACTAGTTTTCAATATTCCATTTCTTTTCACGACCTTTTCTATAGATATCAAATGATGATTATTCTCCTATAATATGGGCTATTTTAGTCCAACGGTTCTCTCATGACATGTAACTACATTTTTCTATGATATACGTATACTGTTCCATTGGTGTTTGACAGTTATTTGTAATTGCTTCTTAACGATTGATGATGATGATGATGATGATGATAATTATGATGATGATGATGATGATGATGATGATGATAATGCTGCTGCTGCTGCTGCTGATGATGATGATGATGATGATGATGATGATGATGATGATGACAACGATAAAGATTAAACAAGCATCTATACAATAGTCTCAATACTTTACAAATATTAAATATAGGCGGCATATGGTGACTTAAAACATTTATTTGTTATTAGCATACTTGAGTTAATTCTACAATATAACACTATCATACACAGTTGTATTTTTAATCGAATTTTATAATTCATACTTTTCTCGAAATCTAGCAAAGATGTATAAAGTACAACATCGACAACTCGAGTTATTCTCATTATTCACCAGGCATGAATGTCATCATTGTTAACTCATTTGTCTTTGCCCTTTTGACAAGCTGAATCTCATTACAGGAAAAAGCATCGAAAAAATCCGGCAAAGACAAGCCAAAACATCGTCACCATTACAAATACTCTGATCCCGTGGATGAAAAAGAAATATCTGGTGAGTTTACAGATTTCAAGAATTTTATATTCAAATATAAAGGATACAAAGTACATGTTAAAACCGATTAATCTGTTGAGAAGCGCGCTCCGGTGAAAGTATGAAAATAATATGTTAAGGAAATGGTTGGCCACGAAATTTTGAATAGTTGATTTCATTCAATACTATAAATGTTTGATTTGATAAAGATATGCATCAAGATATGAAAATAATAATAATGAGTTAGAGAGGTGAATTGCCTATGTAGTCTTAGATAATTGATTTTAATGAAAAGATGTTTGATTTTATTTAGATTTGCATAACCGGAAAAAATTCTCTGGCAAAAATGCATGTGTATATTTGCTTCAATTAAACGTCAAAATATAAATTCCTAAATTGTATGTTGGTTAAGGATAACGCTTTGATTGTGTTAGTAATTTCAGACCTTTAAATACAGAACGAGAAAAGAGAAAACATTATTCAATGAAATAATAAAAAATAACTATCAAGACAAAAATGACTCTTTGTCACATTACATATTTATTTTAATTCTCTCCTGTCACGAACGACATCTAATAAAAGTGAAGCTGTGAGAACTATGTGTTTTATTGCCATTTGAAGGAAACTTCGTGATAAAATGTGTGTAATATCAATATTGCTAATGTTTCAAATGTATTCTAAATCACGAGACAGGCTGTTCAAATCTTAATTACATTTCTAGATTATAAGTTGCATATTTGCCCAAACCAATTCTGTTGCACCAATACTTTTGCAAGTTAATGGAATATTTCAAATAGCATGGTATTTGACAAGTAAGCATGTTAATGTGATACTGTACTGATAGAAAAATAGTGTCCATGTTTCAATGTCTTTCCACTTCAAAATACAATGGCAACAGCATTCATTTGTTTCCGTTTTGTTTTGAGTTAAGTTATTTAAAACAAACTGTTTAGAACATTTGATATCAATAATGAAACTCACAAACAAATGTGGTTTATTTACAATGAATTCAAATATTGTTCCATCAAAACAATTTACAAGCAGTTATTCTAAAATTGTATTACAATTACGTATAAAGAGGTACATGTAATTAAGAGATCAATGCAATGTTAAGAAATACTATTAGAAATGTTCATGCAGAGCCTAAAAAGACAACAAAACAATACTAAAACAGAGAAAAGAAGAATAAAACAAGAGTATATTCAATTGTTTTAGTGTTGTTTTTTTCTTGTCCTTAGAATATGAGCAACAGGATAAAGATTCTCTACTCCAATGGAACCCAAATTTCGGAGCCGTATCCACAGATGCCAGAAAGAACTCGACTACCGGAAGCGGATTTCACAACAGAGTGGTAGCAGCGTTTCGTCGACTCCTTGGCTGCTGTTTTGGAAAAACTTAGCATAGTGTTTTAAAAGTGTATCAAATCATGTTGTACAAATGAAATCCCTATTTTTAGATATATATTTTATATAAGGAGCTAACCCTTATACCTTTACCCTGTGGTTGTATTGATGTATGTATATCTGACTGCTGACATGTGTTTGTATCAACTAATTGGTTAATGTTATTTTTTCTGATCATGTTGTGAAAGGTTGCATCATTTATGCATATATATTCAAGTCGTGTTCGTATTTGTGAGTAGAGTAAAACCTAAAGAATACCTTCAAAACATTAAATTCATTAGCTAAAATCATTTTTAATTAATTTTGAGAAAATATAATTTCATCTTTTAGAGTTACGGTTAATAACGCGATCAGTAAAGCAATTGCAATTTTGAAACAAGACTTTAAACAGATCTTGATCATCATATTTTAACGAGTTGATTAGAATCCAAGCTATTGATGCTTCCAGAGTTTTTAAAAATATTTTTGGAATACTATTTACATCAAGAAGAGAGTTAGCAAATCAATTTAACTATGTATTTGATCACCATTGTGAGCACTAGAACGTTAAGCATTCAATGTTAATGACATGAAACTGAACGTTAACTTAATACCGTTAGTGCACAAATTGTCAGTTGTCGTAGGATTTTTGGTAAGTTTTTTGTTCGGTGCGCTGTTGTGTCTGTGCGTCTGGATTATTGGCAGAAGCTGCATTATGTCACCGTTGGTCTGCCTTGTTATTCTGTGTTCTCTGTTTATAAATTTAAGAATTACATTTCGGCTCCTCTGGCATGTGTCCTCTGGCATGTAAAAATAATCGTATTTAAAAATAAAGTCATGAATAGTAATGTTTGAGTCCACCTTGTTCCCCATCTGATCCTCATTAACTAAACAAATTTTGAGTGTTAAGATATGTACATATTTTAGCAAATAAAACATTTTGAAACTGCTCACATGTGTCTTAATATATCGTTTGGGTTACTTTATAACTGTACAGCAATTACTTGAAATAAATCATCTCTTTTATCCACGTATAACCTGTAGGTGTTACATAATATTAGTAATTTATTTGGTTTGTCAATCAATTATCGCTTAATTGTTTAAGAATTCCATAAAGTTTCTTTCAGTCAATTATACTTTAGTGTCATAAAAATAGAATGTGTTTAACCTAAGTATGGCTCGAATATATGACTCCTTGGTTGAGGCAGAACGGCAGACAATTTGCCACCACTTCTCTAAGAAATAAGTCAGACAAGTAAAATTGTTTCAATTTGTCGTGAATTCGTATGAATCTCTGTTATAATGACGAATATTCAATCTTTTCGTATGATTATTGTTCACGTTCTTTTTCACTGAGACGTATTTCATAAATCAAATATAATAATCTATAATCAAACAGTATTATACCCTTCGCAAATATTTGCCCTTGTAGTGACTACTTAGTTAGCCCAAAATATTAAACGAGCCGGTCTCTGGCTCTGGTCCCCTTAAAATGCTTGCGATCTGGCTGATAAATAATATCTAAATACTACGAATCAAAAACGAAAATCTACTTTTATCTGCGCATCAATAAAATGATAGTTACATAAATAACATAAAGTATCATCTTAACTTCATCATTTGGCCAGATTTGTCTGACCATTGCAATCAAATTGCACCCTTGTCGAGAACTAAAAATGATGCCATACAATGTACGTGATATTGTTGTTTAACTCTTTTTCTAAAGATTAAATGGCAACACATGATTTGCTGTCAGAGGCAGTCATACAATGTACATAATGTTGACAATTTGACAGGAAGTAAGGCAATTCTCGATTTCCCATTTTGTTGATTCAACGACATCGGCATGCTGTCTACAGTTTAAAAGCAAACGCGTGATTTACGGTAAAAGTTCCTTTTACAGACATAAATAATAGTGTACTATTACTGATATTTCAGGAATCAGATCAAATATGACGATTTATTATATGACTGTGACGTTTTAAATACACATACATATACTTACGATATCACTACAGTGAATGTATATAAGTTTGCTTACAACACTTTATTGGTGATGTAAATTGTCAAGTATTATATAAAACTGTCCATAAACAAAATCTAGGTAAGGTAAAATAACAAATTGTAATTGAGTTGAACATTTATCAACAAAAAAAGTGTTTGATTTGGTTTGGTTTGTTTTTTCTGCGTACCAACACATTTTCGGTCACCTGGCGCCGAAACAAGAATGGTGAGCTTTGCTAACAAATGGTGTTACAAATATTATAAAGAGACTCGAGGTGGTCAAAACAACCTTACCTGCTCGGGTAAAGAAGTAATTTAAGCTACAAATGTTTGTCTATTAAAAAAGTAATAATATATGTTTTAGTAAAAACACTATACATTAAGCTGTCTTTAGAACAGAAAACTCTGTATACCAGTAGCTGGGAGTTCCCTTTGGGAGTAACAAGAAAACAAGAATTGCAGTTTCGATTGAATGGAACTATTTTGAGAAAGATAATAAAATATGCGATATGTCTTACACAACCTAGCTGTATGTAACATTTATGTTTTAAATATATGATTGCGATGGACCTAACAAAAGTGACACTTATAGTAAATGCAGAGATTATAGTCTTATAAAGATGTCGCAAGGTTCCTGACCACTGTACAGTCGTGAATATTTCACTTTTGTTAATGCTCCAGAGGGCACTTTACGTGGACACTGTTGTTGATTTGATTGATTCTATTCATTAGAGGATACTGAAACGTGTTAACATCTTTCATTCGTAATCCTCTTCTCGGCACCACAGTTAGCAGTATTTATTATTCATCGAATCAAAACTCGTAACAGAAAAGAAAAATACGCAAATGTTACGTATTTCTACGCGCAATGCGAGAAAATTGATCAACCACATGCAAAGAAATTAGTAATTACTAGTTAAGTTATACAGAAAAGTCAGTTAGGTGGTTCGATCGTTGAGATATGATAAAAATGTGTTTTATTAGTCGCGAAAACCAGGGAAAAAACTTCTTACAAACACATGTGAAACATGTGTCTTTTTGGAGATGCGTAAACGTGATTGTGATTTATTTCAAATGTTTTAATAGATAAATCACATTCCTCTCAAAAGCCGCATTCTGAATCACGTATTGTTCTTTATAACTGTGTGTAACTTTCAGATAATATATATAATTAGTCATTTTTTACAATAAGGTCATGATAGGGAATAAACTATTGTTTGGTTGTACCTTATATATAGCGAAAGTAACCACACTTTATCAATAATATTGCTCTTCGATATGGAGTGAAAACTCTATTTAATGGATTCACTCTCTAGAAATGCTAGAAAATAAGCTTACCCATGGGGCAAAAACATGAAGACAAAATGGGCAATGTCTATGGATAAAAAATATGATAAACAAGATCAACAAGGAAAGGCGGCGTTCAATGAACGCAACCCCCCATATGACCTAGCCACAAGAACCAGTGGCAAGGAGCCTAGGCGGACCCCAAACAAAAACAGGACAGGGCAAATCACGAGGACACCATATCTAACCTAAAGACATCTTGAAAATATATTATTATTCAGCATGACGTTGGGCTGAATTAATTTGAACCAGTACTGAAAGTAACAGCTTTACACTTCCTGTGTGAGAAACATTGTTGAGTACATTATAACACATTAAGATATATTTTTATTATACAAAAAGAGCCACCAATCTACAAAAATGGTAAGTCATTCTGTTTATGAAATATAAATATAGGCATGACCGAGTCTTGTCTTTATAATTATTACGAAAGGAAACAACTTAGTTATTGTAATCAACTTCTTCTTAGTCTTAAATTACTGTTAGAAAATATTTCTTCAAAATATATCATAACTGAACTTAATCATAGGTATGACAGAAAACTATATATAAATAAGACATTTTGTGAAAATTACTGTATTAAATGAGTTTTAAATATGAAAATTACAATAAATAATTTGCTTATTAATCATCTTTCAAACTCTACATTTGTGTTAGTTATAATTATTAAATTGCTAACAGGAAACAAGAAAAAAATCAGTTCTTGAGACATAAAACTTAAAGCAAATATAGGTTTTATTTGGCTTTTAACCTTTCAAACATGAACTAGTCATATCTGATTTGTCATTATATGAATATCATATGAATTTGACGCTCAGCGATTACAACAAAATAAATGGCATATCTCTGTATTTCAAGATTAAATCTAAAGATATGTTTTTTCTAGGTTATTTGGACATATAACTGTCTCCTGCAAAAAGACGTACTGTATTGATCAAAATGTATGACGTTGTCTTTTAAACTCCCGAGGAAATATATAAAAACCAGTAAAAGGAAAGAGCTGAGAAATACATTTAAGTTCAAACAAGATTCACTGAAAGTCTGGCAGGGCATTGAAAGATGTCCTTTTGAAAACAGTGTCATTTTGTCATCAGTAAAGCTTAAGGAGGTAAGATTGACATTGTACCTTTCTAAAATGCTTTTTACAAAAGGAATGGAAAAAAGTAATAGCCAAACTGGCTACTTGTATGTTGCTTAATATAGATAAACGAAATTTTGGCAGGATTTGCTTGATTGACTACATATGTTCTTTATCATTCTCCAATTGTCGAATAACAGTACCTGCACCACATATTGCAAAATAGCTAGGTAACACTTAGAAAACATATACTCGAATAGATTAATTATAAGGCCGCCGCCCCAAGGTACATTCATAATGGCATCACCTTTAGCTATAGAGTAGCGTCCTTATTCATTTTCTATAATCAACATCATATTATACATATTGTATATATACTTTAAAGAATTTATTTAAAATAAAGGTCAATCTCGTTGTTACTATTTGCTTACTCGTGCATGTTATTTTTTTTAATTAGTTTGCGATGGGATTACGATTGTTGTTAGGATATATTAATAATTTGATTTTTAAATGGTATATTTTAATAGTTAAATCCGGGTGCTTATATACAATAATACTATAATATACACTATATAATGAAAATGAACCGGACATTGCTAGAGTCAACGCATATTGCTTTGGGAATCGATCAAAGTTGATTCAAATAGACCGAAGGTAACATTTAATATGTAATATATTCAAGTATGTAAAAATATATCTAATACAAAATTGATCAAGGAATTCCAACTGAACGTTCGGATTTATGTGAGAAAACGATTGATTTATATAAAATAGCGCCCTGTTAGAACATTGTGATAACAGCTTTATTGTGGTATCGATTGCTAATATTGTATATTGTTAAAAAGATAAACACTAAAATAGCTATAAAGTAGGAGTAAAGAACATATAATAGAAACAAACCTGTCTTAAAGTCATTCAATACGTTTGCTATCCTGGAGGTAAGCAATGTTATGCGATTTAAAACTTTTAAAATTGTAAAAATATTCTACATATTGGTTTTTTATTGATGTTTCGCAAAATGGAATTTTGTTGGTAAATGTAAAAACTCGAGTGTTAATATCATTTTTATTCTATATATAGATAATTTCAAAGCAATAAAATAAAAAATAAAGGTGATGTTTGTACCGGAAGTGAAGCTCCTAATTGCACGTACTCCCGCCTTAAAGCAGAAAAGAAGACAAATGAGAAGGTAGAAAAACCCCTACCTGAAAGCAATGGATCTGCAGAAACACAGAAACTGGTTGACAATTTCGTTAAAGTAAGTTTTTCTAAATTAATTAAAACAAAAGATTGTTTCTCTTATGAACATGTAATTGTTATTCTGTCCATGCTTAAAAGTCAGTCTCGTATGCTTATGAGTTGCTTCTGTTGTAATGAATTCGATCTGTGTTTATGCCAACACAATTTTGCATACATTTCAAGACAGAGATTGCGATAAATCTATGTTTTGCTGTATTGCTGTAATTGACATTGTCTTTGCCAGAAACTTTAATTGTGTATATATTGATACTTTTTCAACGAC